ATCCGGGTCTGGAGTTATCTTCCACGTGGCTAGTCATCCTAATCGACTCACGTATCTGACCTAAGTTAGCCGAGTTGACTCCGGTATCTGACTTATGCTAGCCTAGTTGACTCAGGCATCTGACCTAGGTAAGCCTAGTTGGCTCAGGCATCTGAACTGGGTCAACCTAGTTGACTCAGGTATCTGACCTAGATCAGCCTAGTTGTCCCAGGTATCTGACCTAGGTTAGCCTAGTTGACTCAGGTATCTGACCTAGGACCACCGTTTTAGGGAGCCAGAAAGAACAAAAAGGAGAATGTTTTCCGTTCAGTGGTGTCCAGCAGTGAAAGACAATAGTGAGCGTCAGGATAGCAGTGAGAATTCGGGGCTACCAGCACAAGGCTTTTCTCGGCTAGCCGGTGGTCGTGCTAACTCGTGTTGGTATTTGGCCGCATTTGGCCGGCGTGTATTTGGCATCGACACATGCTAACAAAACGGACTATCACAGTCGGTAACACGACGCACCGACATCCAAGAACTTTCGATTCGCCCGCTGCGTCAAACCGCGTCACCGCTCCGGGGCTGACGCCGGGTTTGGCTTCCCCGGGTGACCGAAGACCGACTGTGGGCCCGCCTGTCGCAGGGACGGGGGGGGGGGGGGGCTGTTGGGCGGGAACAGGGACGCCTCTCTGATCAGCAGTCCCTTACCTGCTTCAGAGAGCTAGCTGGCCCGCTCACCTTCATAGCCAAACCAGACGCACGCCCTGGGGCTGATCGGATGGCTCATGCACGACATCATGCTATGCGACCTCTCACCGCGCCCGCACCACGTACCGAACGACGTAAGGCTTACACTGGACGCCGGAAGAGGGGCGTGCCCAGAGGGAGGGGCCACAGAAGTCCGCAAACCGTGCTTTGTGTTAAACTCTTGGAAAGATAGCAAGCAAGGATGTTCGTTACGCTACAGGAAGCTGTTAAATGCTAGAGCGCGTTGCCTTTTACAGTCACACCAAGGAGTTCCGACTTATGATTGAAATACGGTCTGGCCTGTTACGGACCCTAGCTGTCAAATGGCAGAGTGCACTACCGCTGCGCGCGATTGTACCACGTGTAGGGTATTTTTCACCCGCCGCAGCGCGACACTCGCGTAACTGCTATGCGATTGGTGTTGTGCGGGCGAACGGCGCAGCTGAAGACCCACGGCCTTCGTGCGTGGCGCGGGCCCGGCTTCACACGGCGCCGATCGTCTAGCTTTGCGTAAATTTCCATAAATGGATGCATGTCATATTTCGAAAGACATTTTAATTTAATGTGGGCTAGCTCTCCCTCAGCATCACATAGTAGTGACAGACCAACCTGCCACATAAGTTCCACGTAAATGTGCACGATTGCGCTTTACTAAATGACGACATTTTCTGTTGCGCATGGCAATGCACTTTTTCTTTGCAGTCTGAGAGTTTCATTTCAACCAAATGTATGAATTCCCTTGAAATCGTGAAAGAATGCAGCTAAAGATTCCAGAATATAATGGCAACAACATTCCAGATGAAACTCAACCTTTCCTGCATTTTGCCGTAAAAAGGACAGGACAAGTTTAGGTGTAAGGATGCACAAAAGCAAGAGCAGCGCTATTATTAGTGGTGGCATGCATTTATCCAAGTTTGACGGTTCATGGCTGATTTCTAGGCCGCCGGTGGTGTTTTGGGGGAATAAAGTTAGTGATTTGGCAGTCAACAGGCATTGCCTGTCTATAAACCCGTTGGCTGCAACGCACAAAATGTACGCAAAAAAAGTATATTGCTGCGAAGACACACCAATCGCCGTTGCCGCAGTCCAACTTTGGTAAAACTGAGCTCATCTGCAGTTACGCTGATCACTAGGCGCGCAGCCAGAACCTCGGTAGGGGGTGGGACGCATGGTTGACAAATACCCCCCCCCCCAAAAAAAAAAACCGCCGGATATGGCCCACTTGGTAATAAAGACATGCTTTTCTTCGCTATTATATACCTTTAATATATTAATACCTTTTTTAATATAACAATGCCGTTTTTGCCTTCTATAACTGGAAGATAAGCCAGACGCTGCTCCGAGATCATTCCCGCCTGAAGTTTATTGTCAATGAACTGAAAAAGTAAGCATCAAACGACTGCATGAAATACGCCACTGACACTCTTCGTTTTACAATGGGCCAGTAAAGACGTTTTTAGCCGATAAAACTCAGAAGCTTTGTCAGAATTTTTCTGGGTTATACACAGATAGATAAGGACCCGGCGAATGTATTTTGAAGAGCAAGATGGATCAACGATATATATTAACACTGGAAATGTTCAGAAATCAGTCAGAATCGATCGATGAAACAAATTATGTGATATAGTTTTGAGCATACGCGTTCGAATATCTTAGCAACAAAAATTTCAACGCCAGGAGTTGCAGTCTCCTTAGATCGCGCAGCGTTGGCTCCGTGGCTAACATCAGGTGGTGATCAGCGGGAAGATATTCTGAGCGTACATTCATCGATGTGATTTTTATAGTGATTCTAATAAAAGTTCGACCGTTACGGCAACGCGAAGTGGTGCTGGAATCTGGTGGTAAAACTCGCACAGGAAACTTAAAATCTCAATTTTTCGTATTTTTGTATCTGTAGTTTCCCCGGAGGACATCATCAGAGTTGTAAAATACATCCGCTCGCTCTCTTCTTTGAGCTGTGCGAATCCAATTCTTGAAAGACATTCAGACTGGTCTTATTATTACTGGTCAGACATATTTTCCGATGGTCGTTGTTGCACGCACGGCGCCCGTCGCTTGGCGTTCCTTGCGATGGCCAACGCCGTTCGGTTGTTCTGAAACTGCAACCCAGGCCAACGCTGTCCTTGCCACCCGAGATTGCCGGTGCGTCACTGGGACTTTGCGACTCGACTGCTTAGGCTTTGTGGCGTTACCTGCCTCTTATTTCGGCAGGAGGGGGATGGGGGGGGGGGGGGGGGGCGCACCACAGGGAATGGAACCCCGCATCTCTGGTTTCCCAGACGCGCAGTGAACAGGCTCATTTATCACTACACTGTCGGCACCCGGCGCGCAGGCTCAAACCTTTTGATGTTATTTACTTTACTAGCCGATTCAGTAAACAATGACCGCTCTCAGGCAAAGATGGGATGGCCTTGTGCGTTTTTATACTCATTTCGACCCACTCCATTCAACACTGATGAGAACCCTATTTCTTTCCAAGCGAGGGGTCCCCTTGAGTAGAACAGTACGGGGCACATTGTTCCTCCCGGTCAAGAGCTGAAGGGTCATTTTATCCCACTGCGGTGCGTCTTACGGCCGTCATTCTGGCGACACGGGGCGGAGTCCCCTGACCGGCCCAGAGGCCCTTAGAGGGATATATCCTTTCATATTGGTCCACCCCCTGACGCAGGAGGCTTTCTGATCCGCACAGTTGACCCTGGATCGACACAGGAACCCCCATGGACGCAGCAACATCCCTGATGGCCTCAGGCTGTCATATAATTGGCAGATGGACTCAAGTTCGGCTTCATGGGCCCACGCTGGAACAGGGCTGAAGGCCCCACCGTTCGGTATTGGGGGCCCTGACTGACCAGGACCCTTCCATTGCTCCAATGTGAGCACTCACCATACGTTCGCACGTTTTCTTTCGCTGTCAGAAGGCCCCAACCGACGCAAGAGGCCCTTCGTCATTCGGGCCTGCTGCATCGGTGCAAGGGACGTCCCAACTCAACATCAACGTCTCAACAGGGACGTCTCCGTCCCTGTTGAGCAAATCTTACCCCGACCGATTTGAGGCCCCTTGTTGACACATAATACCCTGATAGGCGCTGCGAACCCTGCGGGCCCGGCCTTGCCCCTGCTTGGGAAATGGGCCCCAGAGCTCAGACCAATACGGAGCCAACTGTTCGCTGTTCATGACCTCTGGCCGACATCGAGGAACGCCTTGCCTCAAGGGTCCCTATCGACGAAAGAGGTCCTCTTACTGACATTTGAGATCACGGCACCAGGGCGGGGTCCTTAATGTGACCTACAGCCCGCCCTTCGGACCCTTCAGCCTTCCAATTGGGCCCCTGACTTTGGTCTCGAGAGACCCTTCGACCCCTCTTCGGGCACCCTCAAACACTGCTCCGACTCGGGGCCAATTGCCGCCACTGGACCCCTGTTAGGCACCGTGGCCCCTGACCGACCAAGACGCCCTCATTGTGTTATGGGTCTCAAACATTGCAAATCGCGCGCTCCGGGCTCGTTCCTGCTTGGAAGAGGGGTGTCAAGGGTTCAGACGGACATGGAACCGACTGTTCAGTGTTCGTGGTCTCTAACCAACTTAGATACCCGCATTTTTTCAGGGGGTCCTCAAACGGCGCAAGAGGACTACTGACTGACATTTCAGGCCACGACTCTCCGGGCCACGATTCTTTACGTGACCTACAGCCAGTCCTTCGGGCCCTAATGCCCTCCAACTGAGCCTTTGATTGTCGGCTCCGGTATGCCCCCAGAGCCCCTCTTCGGGCCTCACCAAACACTCCCCATGGTCGGCTCCGGGCCCTTGCGAGCTCAGGACCCGCTGTTAGGAGCTGTAGCCCCTGACAAACACATGGCCCCCGACCAGTGTAACGTGCTGGGGGGGGGGGGGGGGGGGGAGGGGGACGTGCTCTTGTGCCCCCTGCCTCCGCTTCTCTACACTATTGCTATTCGTTTCGATAAAGGCATGTTACCCAAATACTAACACACCTTTCTCTCCATTCTCCTGTTGTTTTTTTTTCACGCGAAATTAGGCTATTATTGCTGTTATCCAAAAAATGTAAAAAATTACCGTGGCTGCTCGACGCCTTAAACATTTCACTTCAATGGATTAGAGTGCTGAGTATATCTAACACCCATTTATGTTTTTAATATATACAGGAAATTTCTCTTAACGGCTGAACATATTCCACAATATTTTGAGGTGCATTCTTCACTTGTGACGCTCGCTCAGAAAAGTGTTTTGAAAAGACAGCGTCGCTTTAGCAGCCGGCGCCCTACTTCCGCATTCGGCAGCAAGTGGTGCGCGCTGTTGGGGCCGGTTGGAGGAATCCGCTCGGTTTGTGAACTGGAAGTTGTGTTTTGTTTTTAGACACAAGCTACACAACAAGCAGAAATGTGAGTCTTAGTTGTGGTGTCCAGTGCCTTGCACTTTTTATTTGCTGTACGATTGTAGTCGAATAGGATCATCATGAAGTGAACGCGTCCCGGTAATCGATCGAGCCCGAAGTGCGTCGTGTTTCTCTGGTGTCTGGGATAGACATTAGCTTATGGGAACTGTCCAGGCTGCCACAAGTAATCATTTTTTGTTTTGTTTTCAGATGAGTGAAGACTTTACGTCCGACTACACTGGTAACGAAGGCTTCAACTCCGGGGAGTCGTTCCCACAGGAAAATGGCGGCGATAAAGCAAAAGCCAATGGCTCCGGAGACGGCGGCGGACGGGACAGTGGTGCTGCAGAGGCGCCTGGAAGGGATGATGAGAGGTACAGTTGCGCTAAATTTTCTCCTTTGATCATCGGAAATTTCGTTTGTGGTCAGTATTGAGCTGACTCACATTGTGTATTAGTTCTTTAAAAATCCTGTATTTTTGTGGATACATTCTGAAGCATTGGACATTCAGTAAGCTGCTGCTGCTGTTATGTGCTCGTATACTTAGTGTGAATCACTTTAACTGTTCCAAGCAGTTCATATAATACCCTTTGACCTGACCATTTTGCTGTAAGGAGTTTCTTGGGAAGTTTGTATTTTCAGTCATTGCATAAGAACTCCAATTGTGATTGAATGATGATGGACTCCCTAGATCTTGCTCAAAGCCAGATGTAACTTTGTCATAGTTCAAAGTAGCATTGAATGTGACCATTGCCTTTCCACACCAACATTTAGATAATCTTGTGTCATGTGTGAATTGGGTGCTGAAATGGCTGGATCATGTGATGCTGCAGGCAGTACATGCATATTTTTGCCTGTTATATGACTTATCCATCTATTTGTTGCTATCTCAGACAAATGCTGCTAACTAGTCAAAAGTAGTCTTGCTAAGAGTCCCATAATTGTACTGCTTTAGTTTTTTATAACATGAAAATCTGATATTTTTGTTATTTCAGCAGTATATGTTAAAAAACTTGAAGCATATTTAAGTCAAGTAACACAAATGTAGTAGGTGTTGACAAGAAAGTTTGGTATTCTTCAAGTACTTCACCTTTTTTAGAAGAAGAAAAATCCCCACCGCGAGCGTTTTACGCGCAGTGCGGCACGGGCTCAACCAGCTCGCGTTAGCAGGATTGCCCGACTTTGAAATCATACAATCCAAACGACATCTTTAGCACCAAAAGTAATGAGCAGGCAATTAACACCATTCACTACGTCGTTTCGACCACTGCTACTCACAATGCTCGCATGATTGCCTATCATCTTCAAGAAATACCCATCTGATAATATAATAATTTCGGCCACAAACAGGTCATATGATTTTTAACACGCAGACAGCCGACGATTTATAGCATGTACTAAAAGTGCAACATAAGCACCAAATTACGTACATTCGAGCAGTTAAGAAAAGTATCCCAGTTTTTCACATTCGTGTCTCGAATTGATATTTCCAAACAGACAGCACAGAGAAAAACCCAACAATGTCGGCGGAACTGAAGCATTTCCAGCAGTCTTAAAAAACGGACCAAGCCACGGGAACCAAACACCGAAGCCAAGCCAACGCTTTCGGTGCGGTACATTGACGTCTATTAGCGCAGTGCATCTCATACACGAGTCCGGATAATGTGATTCACACTTATTAGGACCAAACACATCGTGACGACATTGTCGCTTAAACTACAACACTTGGATTCAATTAATATGACTACTCCGTTTGCCGTGACATGCTGCCATCATGTCGCGCAGAGGGACTGTCGTAGTACCCTCTTAAAGTAGTGCACCTCTTGTACAATTCCAACGAGCAAGGCTTGAAATCGCTCTGACATCCAGAGACATACTCTGCCGAGATAATATGCCAACAGCCACCCTATGGAAACGGATCAAGCCTCGGGAAAGAAGACTGAAGCAAGGCCAGCGTTTCGGTACGGTACATATACGTCTATTAGCGTAGTGCACCTTACACACGAGTCCGGATCATGCGATTCACACTTACTAGGACCAAACACATCTTGCTGACGATGTCGGTGGATATGCCAGACCACGGTCCGATGAATAAGACTCATGCATTGCCGTCAGATGTTGCCATCATTGGCGGACGGACTGCAGTAGCACCCTCTTCAAGTAGTACACCTCTTGTATAATTCCAATTGGCGGGACCTAAAAACCGCTCTGGCATCCAAAGACATACTCTACCGAGATAATATGCCAATAAAAATCCTAAGGATACGGACCAAGCCTTGGAACCGAAGACTGAAGCTAGGCCAGCGTTTTCGGTGCGGCACATATGCGTCTATTAGCGCAGTGCACCTCATGCACGAGTCCGGATCAGGCGATTCACACTTATGGAAATTAAACACATCGTGCTGACAATGACGGTGGAACTGCGAGACTTCGGTCCGATGAATAAGACTGATGCATTGCCGTGAGATGCTGCCATCATGTGCGGACAGGCTGTAGTAGCACCCTCTTAAAGTAGTACACCTCTTGTATAATTCCGATTGGCGAGACCTAAAAACCACTCTGAAAGGCAAAGACACACCCCGCCGAGATAAAATCCCGACACGAACCCTGAGGAACAAAGCCAAGCCCCGGGAACCGAGGACCGAAACAAAGGCAACGGCTTAGGTACGGCACATATACGTTTAGTCGTGCGGTGCACCTGAAACAAGAGCCCTTACAACGCGATTCACACTAAGAAATAAACACATTGTGCCGACAATGTCGGCTGAGCTGCAATGGTTTGATTCAATGAATAATACTCATGCACTGTCGTGGGATGTCACCATCATGTGCGGACAGACTGTAGTAGCACCTTCTTAAAGTAGTGCGCCTCTTGCATAATTCGTTGGCGAGACCTAAGAACGGCTTTGTCATCCAAAGACACACTGTACCGAAATAACGTGTCAACAGCAATTCTAAGAGAACGGACCAAGCCCCGGAAACCGAAGACCGAAGCGAGGCCAACGTTTTCGGTACGGTACATATATATTTATAAGCGCAGCGTACCTTATACCATCGTCAGCAAGATGTGTTTAGTCCCAATAAGTGTGAATCGCATGATCCGGACTCGTGTGTGAGGCGCACTACGCTAACAGACGTATATGTACCGTACCGGAAACGCTGGCCTTGCTTCAGTCTTCGTTTCCCGGGGCTTGGTCCGTTTGCTTAGCGTGGCTGTTGGCATATTATCTCGGCAGAGTACGTCTTTGGATGTCAGAGTGGTTTCTAGGTCTCGCCAATTGGAATTATACAAGAGGTGTACTACTTGAAGAGGGTGCTACTGCAGTCCGTCCGCCAATGATGGCAACGTCTGACGGCAATGCATAAGTCTTATTCATCGGACCGAAGTCTTGCATATCCACCGACATCATCAGCAAGATGTGTTTGGTCCTAATAAGTGTGAATCGCATGATCCGGACTCGTGTATGAGGTGCACTATGCTAACAGACGTATATGTACCGTGCCGAAAACGCTGGCCTTGCTTCAGTCTTCGTTTCCCGGGGCTTGTTCCGTTTTCTTAGGGTGGCTGTTGGCATATCATCTCGGCAGAGTATGTCTCTGGATGCCAGAGCGATTTCGGGCCTTGCTCACTGGAATTGTACAAGAGGTGCACTACTTTAAGAGTGTGCTACGACAGTCCCTCTGCACGACATGATGGCGGCATCTCACGGCAATGCATGAGTCTTATTCATCGGACCGACGTCTTGCATTTCCATCGACATTGTCAGCACGGCGTGTTTAGTTCTAATAAGTGTGAATCGCATTGTCCGGACTCGTGTGTGAGGTGCACTACGCTAACAGACGTATGTGTACCGTACCAAAAACGCTGGCCTTGCTTCAGCCTTCGTTTCCCGGGGCTTGGTCCGTTTCCTTAGGGTGGCTGTTGGCATATTATCTCGGCAGAGTACGTCTTTGGATGTCAGAGCGGTTTCTAGGTCTCGCCAATTGGAATTATACAAGAGGTGTACTACTTGAAGAGTGTGCTACTGCGGTCCGTCCGCCAATGACGGCAAAATCTGACGATAATGCATGAGTCTTATTCATCGGACCAAAGTCTTTCATATCCACCGACATCGTCAGCAAGATGTGTTTAGTCCTAATAAGTGTGAATCGCATGATCCGGACTCGCGTGAGGTGCACTACGCTAACAGACGTATATGTACCGTGCCGAAAACGCTGGCCTTGCTTCAGTCTTCGTTTCCCGGGGCTTGGTCCGTTTGCTTAGCGTGGCTGTTGGCATATTATCTCGGCAGAGAACGTCTTTGGATGTCAGAGTGGTTTTTAGGTCTCGCCAATTGGAATTATACAAGAGGTGTCCTACTTGAAGAGGGTGCTACTGCAGTCCGTCCGCCAATGATGGCAACATCTGACGGCAATGCATGAGTCTTATTCATCGGACCGTGGTCTGGCATATCCACCGACATCGTCAGCAAGATGTGTTTGGTCCTAATAAGTGTGAATCGCATGATCCGGACTCGTGTATAAGGTGCACTACGCTAATAGACGCATATGTACCGTACCGAAAACGCTGGCCTTGCTTCAGTCCTCATTTCCCGGGGCTTGATCCGTTTCCTTCGGGTGGCTGTTGGCATAATATCTCGGCAGAGTATGTCTCTTGATGTCAGAGCGATTTCAAGCCTTGCTCGTTGGAATTGTGCAAGAGGTGCACTACTTTAAGAGGGTGCTACGACAGTCCCTCTGCACGACATGATTGCAGCATCTCACGGCAATGCATGAGTCTTATTCATCGGATCGAAGTCTTGCAGTTCCATCGACATTGTCAGCACGATGTGTTCAGTTCTAAAGGTGTGAATTGCATTATCCGGACTCGTGTGTGAGGTGCACTACGCTAACAGACGTATATGTACCGTACCGAAAGCGCTGGCCTTGCTTCAGTCTTCGTTTCCCGAGGCTTGATCCGTTTCCTTAGGGTGGCTGTTGGCATATTATCTCGGCAGAGTATGTCTCTGGATGTCAGAGCGATTTCAAGCCTTGCTCGTTGGAATTGTACAGGAGGTGCACTACTTTAAGAGGGTACTACGACAGTCCCTCTGCACATGATTGCAGCATGTCACGGCAACGGAGTAGTCATATTAATTGAACCCAAGTGTTGTAGTTTAAGCGACAATGTCGTCACGATGTGTTTGGTCCTAATAAGTGTGAATCACATTATCCGGACTCGTGTATGAGATGCACTGCGCTAATAGACGCCAATGTACCGCACCGAAAACGTTGGCTTGGCTTCGGTGTTTGGTTCCCGTGGCTTGGTCCGTTTTTTAAGAATGCCGGAAATGCTTCATTTCCGCCGACATTGTTGGGTTTTTCTCTGTGCTGTCTGTTTGGAAACGTCAACTCGAGACACGAATGTGAAGAACTGCGATAATTTTCTTGATTGCTCGAATGTACGTAATTTGGTGCTTATGTTGCCCTTTTAGTACATGCTATAAATCGTCGGCTGTCTGCGTGTTAAAAATCATATGACCTGTTTGTGGCCGAAATTATTATATTATCAGATGGTTATTTCTTGAAGATGATAGGCAATCATGCGAGCATTGTGAGTAGCAGTGGTCGAAACGACGTAGTGAATGGTGTTAATTGCCTGCTCATTACTTTTGGTGCTAAAGATGTCGTTTGGATTGTATGATTTCAAAGTCGGGCAATCCTGCTAACGCGAGCTGGTTGAGCCCGTGCCGCACTGCGCGTAAAACGCTCGCGGTGGAGATTTTTCTTCTTCTAAAAAAGGTGAAGTACTTGAAGAAAACCGAAAGTTTAACCTTTGTGCAGCCATATGATATTTGTGGGACAATGACACGGACAAGTCCTGTCCACGATTATTTAAATGCTGCAGGTGTATTACTGCTTGCCAGTGTATATGCTGATCATGGAATAATCCAAAAATTATGAATCTAACTTCCATTTACAGAATACTGTGACATTCACAGTGATGCTGATATGGTCTGTCATGACACTTGTAACTCAACATATTTGTGCTTGTTGCCCTCACTCTGCAGGGATCTCCTGCTGAGATGGAGGGTTGCACCCTTTGCATGAGGTGCATATGCATCATGAAAAGGTGCACATTAACAGGTCTTGGTACCAGTATGGCTATGTATTGATTTACAATAATTTCCTCAGGCTCAAGGGGAAACATAGTGGCAGTTCTGGAGTGCTCTCAGGCAGCTTCATTTGTCCCTATGTTTGGACTGGCAGTTACACATCTTGCCATTTCAGCTGGATCAGTGGCTGTTCACAGGGCTATACTGCACCATTTGTATCCTGTTACTGGTATTTGCCAATCTTGTGCTTTGTGTTTGAGTTGAGCTTTGGCAGCAGTGGGTTATGGGATCATTTGTTGCTTGTAATTTCAGCTGGATCACTGGCTACTCACAGGGTTTTCTGCAAATGTTTTATCTTGTAAAAGCTACTGGTATTCATCATCCATCCCATTTGTTGTGTGCAAGTGACAAGCCTTGGTAGCTTTTGATCATTGGATCATTTGCTCTTGTAATTTTAGCTAAATCACTGCCTGTTCACAGTGCCACGCTGCATATTTTTTTTATCCTGTCAAAGTTACTGATATTCTATCCATCCATCAGCTGCATTGTGTACAAGTCATCAGCTTTGGTAGCATTTGGTCTTTGGATCAGTTGGTTGTTTAATGTACTTAGTGCATGTATTGATGCAGCAGTGATTGTAGGGATGAGTTTCAACCTGAGTTGTGTTTGTATGCTCTCTCCTTCAATCTGTGCATTGGTATTTCTGTAATGTCAACACAATATTTTGTTAGTCTGTGAATAGCCACTTTAACCAGTCTTGCTGCTTCCTCTGTCATAGAGCTGTAAGATGTGAATGACTCAGTGGCTTTCAGTCATTGCCAGCATTTGATGTGCACTGATTTCCCGTAACAGCTCGCGGCGCCGCGCCGCGCCCCGGCCGCTGCGTGCCGCTGCTGACGGTGGCGTCCTCTCTCCACAGGCGCGCCTCGCCCTGCTCCCCCTGATCGCGCAGGGCCGCGCGCCGGGGCCCGAGCAATGGTATTTATACCCCGTGCAGGGCGCGTGTGTATGTGCGCGCGCGCGCTGGTGTGCGTGTGCGGCCGTCGCCTGTAACGTAACAGTCACAGGTCACCGCTGTCAGCGCCGAGCGTGGGCGCCCTCGCGTGCCGCAGCGGGCCCTCGGTGCTCCTGCAGAGCTCCAGTTCAGCCAGTCCAGTCGGCGCGCCGTTGCCAGTGCAGGCGGCGGCGCCAGCCCGCCGGCCAGTTCGCTGTGCTCGCTCAAGTTAACGTACCCGCCGGCAGGCCGGCGCCCGCCCCGGTAAAGTATGCGCCGCCGGAGCGGCCCGGCCGGCCGCCGCCCGTCCAGCAGGCGGCCGCCTCCCCCAGCCCGGCCCCGGCCGCCGCCGCCGCTGACCGGCCGCTCCGCCTCTCTGTTGCAGGAAGCTGTTTGTGGGCGGTCTCAGCTGGGAGAGCTCCGAAAGTGAGTACACGCGGATGCTGGGGTGGGCGTGGCGCTCGGCGGTCGCCGCAAAGCGACTGGGCTGTTCAGTCACTCCGTCTCCTGTTGAGTCGCTCGGGTTGTTTCCGAGTGGGTGTTCAGTCTCACGCGCGTGGTGTTGTCACTGTGGCTGTTGTGGACCGTCGCACACTGCAGCACATGCCGTGGGCAGTCGAAGCTTGGGCGTAATTGCGGCAGATAATTTCCGAGCTCCGGAGCTCTTGTGACGTGCATTTTGCTCGTCGTTCGAAGAAGGCGCCCGTCGCGCCACGGGAATGTGTTGGCGAAGCATCTTGGCACGCGGAAGTAAATAAAACACCCGCGCGCCGGTTGACGGCTGCCGTGGGGCACGCGCGTGACGTCACAGCGCGGGCGGACGTCTCCGCGCGCCGCTTGGCGGAACGGCGGGCGGGCGGGCTGTCACCGGCGCGCGAGCGCCGCCGTGCCGGGCATCGGGGTGGCTGACCGCCGCCGCCGCGGATGGCGGGCCGCTAACCGGCTGAAACCGGTTCTGGCGTCGGTCACCTGTGGCGGCCGGGCAGACGACTCGGGCAGCAGGGGATTCGGGAAATGTGGTGATTCGACCCTGTGGGCGCACCGACTTTCCTGGTCAGACTCGAAAGTAAATTGTGATTGATGCAATCGTGGATATGATACAGTTACGAAGACAGTGGCAATGCTCGTCGAACGGTAACGGTCGGCGGGGATGGCGCCTGATTTCGCGGAAAAGATTTGTCCTTTAGCATGCGCCATTTATGCTGCGAATTGGACTACGGTGCGGGTCCGATCTTTTTATATGCCAGCATGTCCACGAATGGCTTGCACAATTTTCCAAGAACTCGGGTCGCGAGCGGCGCCATTTCGAAATGGAGACATGTGGAGGCCTTTCTGATAGGAAAGGACGGATCAGGGGAGCCAAATACTTGGCGCGTGCGTATTTGCACATGCATGAAGTCATGCAAATACTTTGAGCTGGAAAAGTTGTGAGCCGTTTCGGCCGATATTAGTATTACTGCTGATACGGCCGTTTTTGCCGCCTTGCGTAGTTGGGACAAATTCACGTCTACGCTCAGTGCATTTCTCTTCGCTGGAGTTTTACGGTGGTATCCGTTAGCTTCTCTGGTTCTCCTCGTATTAATTTATATGCGTCCTGTCCCGTTTCTGCCGTATCTTGAGTGCCTTGTGTGATAGGCCCCCGTGGCTAATCTCCTGGACGTGATCTCTGTGTCCGATCTGCTATGCTAGGTCTCCATGTATAATCTGCTCTGTTGCCGTCGCAGAGGAGCTGCGCGAGTACTTCGGCGAGTTCGGCGAGATCGAGTCTGTGAACGTCAAGACGGATCCCAACACGGGCCGGTCCCGCGGCTTCGCCTTCCTCGTGTTCTCTTCCACGGACGCCATCGAGAAGGTGAATGGCCGGGGGTCGCTGACCCGTGCAACGCCCCTGGGCAGCAGCGGTCAGCGGGACTGCCGCCGTCCGCTCCACGCGCCCGATGACGTGGAGCTTCCGTACCGGTGTATGCATGAGTGGCGTGTGCCTCGCACGGGGTAGCAGTTGTCTGCTTGAATTCCTGTACTTCGCTGCACTCGAAAACTTCGAGAGTCTACGTGTCAACCTCCTCAGTGGCGGTGGAAGCGTGCGTCTCCGAGCAGTCACGGAGATCGGGCTGTGGTGGCGGAGCCGCGTTGACTACGTGGCAGTTCACGCGTCCCTCGATGGCGTCGTGACGGGCGCCTCGGCGTTGTACCGCGCTACGTCCCCGCTAACCAGACCATCGCCGCCGCCAGGTGATGAACAAGTCGGAGCACATCATTAACGGCAAGAAGGTAGATCCGAAGAAGGCCAAGGCGCGTCACGGCAAGATCTTCGTCGGCGGCCTCAAGCCCGAGATGTCGGACGACGACATCAAGAACCACTTCAGCGCCATGGGCACGGTAAGAGGCGCTCGTTGGCCGTGTGTTTGGCTCTTCAAGTTGTTGAGCCTGTTCTGCATCGGGCCAGGTGGGTGGGGGCGGGAACGTCGTTTTTGGAGGCCATCTGGCGGCTCGGCTGCGGCCGCTGGTGTGTTTGTGTTGGCCGGCCCGGCTGGCCGCGCGCGCCGCCGCGGGGTCGTCGGCTCCGGGCTGGTCACCGCCGCGAGGTCGGAGGGTTCACGGCACAGCCGTGGCGGTCACCACTCTTTTCAATTGTTCATTGGAAACGACAGACGACCATGCCCTGACTCCCGGCCTCTGCGCCGCCGTCGCCGCCGCTGCTGCAGGTCGTCGAAGTCGAGATGCCGGTCGACAAGGTGAAGAACCAGCGCAAGGGCTTCTGCTTCATCACGTTCGAGCAGGAGCAGGTGGTGCAGGACCTGATCCGCGTCGGCAAGACCAAGATCAAGGACATGGAGGTGGACGTCAAGAAGGCCACCCCGAAGCCGGACGGCATGCGCGGAGGCATGCGAGGAGGACCGCGCGGCGGCCGGGGTACGTGCCGCGACCAGCCGCGACGCTGATCCGGGCGACGGCCGGCTCGGTCGGGTCTGGGTCTGGCCGACTCTGGCCTTACCGCGGCTACCCGTGCACCGGGTCAGAGCCCCTACCGTAGTTTTTTATCATTTGCAGTGTAGTGTTGTGTGTGTGTGTGTGTGTGTTGAGGCGTTGGGTCGGTTGCTCGTGGCCATTGGTAACGTTAGCCCGGCGGCAGCTGCAGCCGCCGACGCATCAGCGCTGCTCGGGGGCCGCCAGGCGCCGACCTGACCTAACCTGACCTGACTGGTGCCGCAGGTGGTCGCGGTGGCGGCCGGGGTTACGGCGGCGGCGGCTATGGCGGCGGCTACGGAGGGTACGGTGGCGGATACGACAACTACGGAGGTACGGTGCCGGACGGACGGCGGGGCGGGAGCCGGCCGACAGCCGGGCTGTTGTGCTCAGCTCGGTTTGGTTGATAACTAGCCCAGAGCCCGCTGTGTGGTGGTACTTCCGTTCCGTCCCGTCGCGTGCTGTGATGATCTCTAAAGTCAGTTCTGCTACTGATCGCGTTGACGACGCCCGACTCCTGAGCCTCGGCCTTGGGGCGCACGGCTCCGCTCGGGCCCACCGCCGCCCCCGCTAACGCCGCCCTCCGTCCCGACCGCAGGCTACGGCGGCGACTACTACGGCGGCTACGGTGGCTACGGCGGCTATGGAGGCTACGGCGGCGGGTACGACGGCGGCTACGGCGGCGGCGGCTACGGGGGCTACGGCGGCGACGGCGGCTACAGCGGTGGCAAGCAGCGCGGCGGCGGCGGCGGCGGCCGCGGCAGCTCCAGGCACCAGCCGTATTAGGCCAGTCCCGCCATCGCTGCCCCACCCTCCCCGCTCTTCATCAACTCATTGACGGTGCGTGGCTGACGCGTTTGTTCGGATGCCTAGGTGCTGCTCGCTGGGCCCAGCGGCGGACCGGGCGGGGCCTCTGCGGAATACCTCCTGGCTGCTGCGATTGGTACTGTCTTTAGTCACCAATCGCTGCACTCTCGTACACCGATGTCGTGTATTGCCGTAACATTGGTGTGCTGTTCTTATTAGCGCTGTTTCGACTGCACTGTCCAGCGAGCGCGCGCAGCGTTCACAGCGCCCCCCCCCCCCCCCCCCCTGCTCTGATGATCTCCGAAGTCAGTTCTGCTACTGATCGCGTTGACGACGTTCGACTCCTGATGCCTCGTCTGTCGCCCTGGTTCGCTCGCTCGCTCCTGGCGCTCTGCCTGACGGACCGCCCTGCCCGGCAGGCACCAGCCCAGCCGGTCCCGCTCGGGCCGGACCGCTCTCGCCGGGTGACGCGCCGCCCCCGCGAGACGGCGGAGCCGCCTCGGACGTTCGCTCGCTCGCTCGCTCGCCAGTGTCTCAGTGTGCCGACAGCGTCGGTGTTGTGTTGTAGTCCGCGTGCGCGCGCGCGAGGTGCATAGTCGCCGCGGACGAGAAGTGCTTTGTGTGCCCTCGTCATGAATATACGTGATCACAGTGCGCAGAGCGCGTGTTTGCCAGGGCGGGTGAGAGGGCGAAGGGTGAGCGCGCAGCCTGCGTTCATGTGAGTAGTGTGACGTTTTAGTTCTCGAGCGGCAGGCTGACCGTACGGCGTCGGTGGATCTCATCCAATAAATTCGTGTTTGAAGTCCAGATCTTGTCTGGGAGGAGTGGTGGCGGACTGGCGGGAACACCGCTGAGGCTGCAGCCTGGTATGAGTGGCGGCGGACAGGCGGGGCACCGCCGGGGCTGCAGACGTGCAGACAGACCGGGGAATGGCGGTAATAGAGCGTGGCGGGAGTGAAGGACGGCAGACGCCCAGTCAGTCCACAACTGCCGCTTAGCAGGGGGTATGATATGTGAGTGCGTGCACAGTGGATTATGCGTGTATGGATGGATTATACATGGAATCGGCGAAGCGGTTCCCTAGACCGTCTCCCCGGTCCCGTGTGGTCGGAGACCCAGACATTTTCACCCGCATCGCATCAAGTACAGGCCTCCTGCGACGCTGTCGATAGGACACCTCGCGATCCAGGCGCGTGGTTATGGATCATTCGGGACTCATTGCCCAGCGGGTGAACGGACCCTAATGGGATCTTCATTTGCTCGGCGAGTGAGCGAGTTCCAGGAGCCGTTGACGGTCGATTGTTCGTATATTGAATCTGCTGGCTGCCGTGTTGGCCACGGCTGCTGGGCTGGCAGCTGTCGCCTTATAAGCTAGGACGTCGGCGAGACAGACGTGGCGTCTCACCTGTTACGCCTCAGGCGTGCCCGCGCTCGCCCTGCTCAGGGTTGTGTGGTATACCCGCGGCATACCTCCGACTGGTCCGGGGGATCGTCGCCAGCCGGCTGTTTTCACGCGGCGCCGGGGACCCTGGCCGGAGCCGCCAGAGGAGGCTACATGGTCTCCAGAGTACCGCGGACAGAGGAGTCCGTCCGCTTCTCCCGCCAAACAGCTGGCGGCGCTGGGGACCCCGGCCGGAGCCGCCAGTGGAGGCTACACGGTCTCCAGCGTAGCGCGGACAGAGGAATCCGTCCGCTTCTCCCGCGAAACAGCTGGCGGCGCCGAGGACCCTGGCCAGAGCCGCCAGTGGAGGTTACACGGTCTCCAGAGTAGCGCGGACAGAGGAGTCCGTCTGCTTCTCTCGCGAAACGGCTGGCGGCGCCGGGGACCCCGGCCGTAGCCGCCAGCGGAGGCTACACGGTCTCCAGAGTACCGCGGACAGAGGAGTCCGTCTGCTTCTCTCGCGAAACGGCTGGCGGCGCCGGGGACCCCGGCCGTAGCCGCCAGCGGAGGCTACACGGTCTCCAGAGTACCGCGGACAGAGGAGTCCGTCCGCTTCTCCCGCGAAACAGCTGGCGGCGCCGAGGACCCCGGCCGGAGCCGCCAGCGGAGGCTACACGGTCTCCAGAGTAGCGCGGACAGAGGAGTCCGTCTGCTTCTCCCGCCAAACAGCTGGCGGCGCTGGAGACCCCGGCCGGAGCCGCCAGCGGAGGCTACACGGTCTCCAGAGCAGCGCGGACAGAGGAATCCGTCCGCTTCTCTCGCGAAACAGCTGGCGGCGCCGGAAGGCCGGGCGAGCTGCGCTTCGTGCCGTGTCCACCTTCCATGTCGGGTCTCCCGCTTCGCGTCCAAGATGGGCAGCGCGGCAGGAGGCCCCTCTGGTGGAGCCAGGCGAGCTCAGCGGCGGTGCAACACAGCAGCTCCCCCTCCCCTCTGGTGGGGCCAGGCGAGCTCAGCGGCCGTGCAACACAGTAGCTCCCCCTCCCCCTCTGGTGGAGCCAGGCGGGCTCAGCGGCGGTGCAACACAGCAGCTCCCCCTCCCCTCTGGTGGGGCCAGGCGAGCTCAGCGGCCGTGCAACACAGCAGCTCCCTCCTCTTCTGGTGGTAGCAGGCGAGCTCAGCGGCCGTGCAACACAGCAGCTCCCCCTTCCACCCCTCTGCGAGCAGTGTACGGTCGCCGTAACAGTGAAGCGTCCCCGGCTTTCAGTGAGCAAGACATGATGAACGCGATCATCTGCAGCTGCCATCAACGGCAGATTCTGCCAGGGGCGTAGCCAGGGGTTTTCTTAAGGGGATAGTTTGCGGCTCGGTAATCACGCATCACTCTGACATTCAACCTCTTCGTCAGGGGCTATCTGTGGTGCTACAAAAGGCTCAAGTGAAGCCTATGGAGCCTGCCCCTACCGAGAACCAATCCATGGCCCTAGGCGAAGATAAAATAGATTAACAAAAGATAAAATAGATTGTCGGCAGGGTTGCGTGACGGCGGTGACCTTTGGACCGGTTAGTGAGCGGCGCCGGCCGTGCGGCGCTCTGATTGGCTATGGATTTACCGATCGTCTGAGCCCGAGGCCCAGCCGGGCGGCTGATTGGCCGCCGGTTGAAGCGGCCCGCTCTGAATGATGAAGGAGTCCGTGACCACCGTCGTTACGAGCTCGTCAATATGGCACACGCGCCGGTCCGGGACAGATTGCGTCGCCGCCGCCCGCCGGGCGTCCACCAGTGTGCGCCGAACGCCGCCGGGCCGCTGCGGCGAGGCCTGAGTGGCTTCGACAGCTCGCCCCGATGGCGCAGGTGGCTGCCGCAGCCCCGGGCGACGGCCCCCGCGCCGCCGAGCCACGCGCGCGCCGCATCAGCTGCTGCCCGTGCTCCGCGCCGGCGGAAGAGCCCGGGGCGTCGAAGCGCGCGTGCCGGCTGCCGCCGTGGCGCACCTCCCTCCTGCTGAGCTTCGTCGTGCTGAGCGCGCTCGCCGTCTGCATTCTGGTGCCGCTGACCCTAGACGAGGGCGTGCGGCCCCTCTTCTCCGGCAGCTACGTGCCCGCCACGTGCTTCGTGGTCGCCGCCGCCGAGACCAACGGCACGTGCTCGTGCAGGCCGTGCCGGCGCGCGCCGCGCACGTGCCTGGCGTTCAGCGTGCACGTGGTGTACGCGTCGCACCTGATCCTGCAGCGGCCGCACGGCTGGGACCGGCGCCACGTGCTGCTGCGGGCCGGCCATGAGCGCTGCCAGTCGTGGCTCGCGTGCGAGCAGTTCCACCGCGAGGTAGCGCTGGTGGGCCACAACCTCAGCTGCCTGGTAAAGGAGGCCGAGCCAGCGGCGGCGGCGACGGCTACTGCGGGCGGCGGCGCCACGGCGGTGCCGCGCCAGGCGCACGGCCGCGCCGCCTGGATGTTTCTGCTGCTGCTGATGCCGGTACTGGTGTTGTCGGCACTGGCTGTGGCGCTGTACTGCCGACAGTGCGGTCCGGCAGCGCGCCGCCGCCGCGCCGCGCGCGCCTGGCGCCGCGCCGCCCGCCGCGTGCGCCAGAAGACCTACCAGGAGGAGCAGGCGGCGGCGGCGGCGGCGGAGGCAGCAGCGGCCGGGGCGCGCACGGCGATGGTGCAGCTCGCTGTCCCGCGGCCGAATCTGCTGCCACCTATCAACGTGGTGGCGAAGCACGAGTGTGGACCTGTCGAGTACAGGGCTGACGACAAGCAGTGACGTGTTTTCTGAAAGTGGGCGCCGCGCTGGCGGGAAGTCTGCACCATGTTCCGCATTCCATATCGGCCATCGACTGTTACGTTTCGCTAGCAATTCACGCCGCTGCACAGAAGGGTGGTTGTATATGTTGTGTTGAAGGTTCGTGAGTGAAGGTTCAACAGCTTGCGTGGCTGTGTGAAAGACATGCCTGAATGGGGAGTCACCTCGTCACGATGTACTTACGTCCGCGAGGACAATATCCAATCGTTTTAATGAGCTCTGTTGTGGCTCAAAAACACTAGAAACTACTGACTGGCAATGCACACGTGGTCTGTGCGCAGTATCGCTGTGGGCGTGCGTGTGCCGCCACTCTGTGGCCGCACCAGCGGCAGACCGTCACGCAAACACGCAACTGTGATCCCATGTAGATCAATACAAGGACCTCGTGGCTGATGAGCGCATGATGTTGAACCACAACCCCGGCGTGAGACGAGCCAGCAACAAACATGCATGCTGGTGAGCTTCAGGGTTTCGAAGTGCAGGCTCAAGTCCGTGAGCGATCGGGGCTAACAGCCATCACCTCCCCGGACAGGGCACAGGGACGCCGCAGGCTCAAGTCCGTGAGCGATCGGGGCTAACAGCCATCACCTGCCTGGACAGGGCGCAGGGGCGCCGCAGGCTCTCGGAAGCAGGACTTCGCATGTCAACAGCACAGGACCTCGCATGTCTTCAGCACAGGACCTCGCATGTCATCAGCACAGGACCTCGCATGCCATCAGTATAGGACCTCGCATGTCATCAGCACAGGACCTCGCATGTCATCAGCACAGGACCTCGCATGTCACCAGCACAGGACCTCGCATGTCATCAGCACAGGACCTCGCATGTCATCAACACAAGACCTCGCATGTCATCAGCACAGGACCTCGCATGTCATCAGCACAGGACCTCGCATGTCATCAGCACAGGACCTCGCATGTCATCAGCACGTCGCACACCGGCCGTGACGGATGGAGCACTCAACAGCGTCAGACGGCATGATCACCGGCTAGTCCATGACGTCTCCCTCGGTGTCCGCCGTCCTCCCAGCGTCGGGGAAGGGCCTGCGCAGCACGCCGGTGGCGCCACACGGCGGCCAGACCGGGGAGCTGACATGCGGCGGTTCGGCGCGGCGGCGCCAACCTTACAGCAGGTGCGAAACGTATGAATGAGAAGCTGAATAACATTTGATAGCGCATGCAGCAGAAGTCAGAGCGACCGACTTCTACTGAAGACACTCCTGCTATGTAACGCTTATAGATCGCTTGCTAAAGCTCAGGAGCCTCAGAGGAGCGGGAGGGAGCAGGAGCTCGATCAGGAGCTCGATCAGGGGAATGGGAGGGAGCAGGAGCTTGATCAGAGGAGCGGGAGGGAGCAGGAGCTCGATCAGAGGAGCGGGAGGGAGCAGGAGCTCGATCAGAGGAGCGGGAGGAAGCAGGAGCTCGATCAGAGGAGCGGGAGGGAGCAGGAGCTCGATCAGAGGAGCGGGAGGAAGCAGGAGCTCGATCAGAGGAGCGGGAGGGAGCAGGAGCTCGATCCCGCCATCGTGCGCAGGAAACATCACCAACGCCC